GTGTGTGCACCCCCAAGCGCTCATCACTGCTGCCATGTTACTGCTCACTTCCACCACTGTCGCTGCTGCCACTGCCACTGCTGCTGCTGCTAGCTTCGCTATATTTGCCCGGGTCCTCCGAGCTGGACTCCTCCCCAGCGCCAGCGGCTAGGACCTCTTCCTCACCAGCATCCGACCCACCCTCCGAGCTACCCTCCTCTGTCCGCCCCCTCCGCCCTCCCTTGCCTGCGCCGCCCTTCCCCGCACCTCTGGTGGTCCCCTTGCTTGCACCCCTGCCCCGGCCTGCGCCCTTGTTCCCCTTCTGCCGTTTATTTCCAACCTTGCACCCCGACCTCGCACCCAGGTCGTCGTCATCACCGCCACCCCGCCTGCGCTTGCCAGCTGCGCCCTTAGCCGCTCTTGGCACCTCGCCGACCCACTCCTTGAACGCATCGTAGTTGGTGGTATCCTCGTCCTGTGGTGGGGGGGGCAGCAACATCCAGTGCTTACGTTCAAGGTAAAATATCAGGGTAAGACCCAACAAGCTGCCCTGACATTGAAAGTTGACATAACCCATCAGCACCCCTCGACCTTGTTAAACATGCTCCCCAGGTTCCAAACTGCTAGGTTTTCTACCTGGGCAACGCCCGCCTCGCCCTGCCTGGGACCCGTGCCGGTGTCCCCCCCTGCGGTTGCTGCTGCTGCGACGCCTGCTGTGCGGCCGCCACCCGTGCCACCATCCACGGCATGCGTGCCCATGGCAGCAGCCTCTCCGCCACCCACCGCCTGTTCGTGTTCCCCAGCGGCTGCTCTCGCTGCTGCACCATCACCGTCGTTAGCCGCAGTATCCACTGCCTCAGCTCCCACTGCGGCTGCCACAGCACCGTGGTCTGCAGTGATAGTCGACGGTCGCAGGATCTTGTCCAAGACCTTCTTCTGAAACTGCGTCATGAAGTTGCTGGTGGCGGTCGCCTTGCCAGGCGCGGGCCCGCCGATGGCCAGGCCCTCCTGGCTGATCCTGAACAGCCTTTGAAGTAATACATTGCATTCTTCTCATTGAACATGCTAGCTGATATCATGT